CATTGCTGAAGCAAGGGCCCGGCAACGGTATTGCCGTGTCAGGCATGGACATGGAGCAGGCGGCGAACGATGAAGAGACCAGGTGGATGAAGCGAGAGGGTTCAGAGGGTGGCAGTGCCGAGGATGGGGGCATGTCGCAGCTCGCGAGTCTACTGACGGCACGAGACGCGGATGGGGCGGCGGCGCAGCCGCAGCAACAATCGGCCAAGAGCGATGCCATCCAGGCTATCCTTTCCTCTGCCGGCGTCGAGTACACGCACGAGAATTCCGAGGTCATCGGCACGTCCAAGATTGAGGAGCAGCTGTCTCGCGCCGCCGAGATGGCGTCCCAGGCGGACAACCCTGACGGCAACAGCGCCCTCTTCGGCAGCCAGCTGCTCGAGGGCGTGATGGACGCCAGGGCCGACGGCAGGCTGAGGCGCTACCGGTACAACCCGCCCGAGGACGTGATGCGGCGGCAGTTTTGCAGCATGGCGCGCGAGTTCGGCTTCGCCAATGCGACGCAGTTTGCACTCGTCGTGGAGAACTGGACGCAGGAGCAGCGGCGCAACTGCCTCGATGCGTTCTATCGCGTCAGGGAAGACAAGCTCATGGCCGAGGAGTCAACCTCGCGGGAGAGGTCGAATCCCGAGCGCACGTCCACGTCGAGTGAGGCGGTCAAGGTGGAGACGGCAGATCAGGGAGGGAGCCCGAGGCTTGCTGAGGCGCAGCGGGAGCTTGTCACGGCAGAGGCCGCCCGAGAAAGTTCTGAGGTCAAGGCAGAGGGCAGCTGTAAGGTTGAAGCGGCCGAGACGATGGTGAAGATGGAGTCGTCTTCGGCAAAAAGGGCATCAGTGTTCATTTACGATACGGATGATGATGAGACGGACGAGCTCTAATGGCGCTTTGGTGTTTGATGCGTGGCGGTGATAGATCCCTAGTTGAAAGGGAACCAATTTAGCAAGCCGCTTGTGGTATTGGTTTCTTCTAGTTGCTGCATTATACTTCATGGCGTATTTGTCCTGGCCCAGTATCTGTATGTGTGTGTGTGTGTGTGAGAGAGAGAGAGAGAAT